GTATTGCATATATTCCATCAGCTTTTAAAATAAAAAAAATTATATTGTGAAATGTACTTGGACAAAAACAAAACAAAACCAAACCAAAATACACACACACAGAGGAAGGTGTGTTTAATTACTTATTTTCAACCAGATTCAATTAATTACAAAATGGTTCAGACAGGAATATGGCAAATCTGTAGCATGCTGGTGTAGAGCTTGTATGCCAACAGAGCAAGAGTTGTTAATCTATTAAAGCTATAGACAGGGGTGCAAAAAACATTAATAAACATAAAATTATAGAAATATTTAAAGGTGTACTTAAGCCACACCACCACAAATTTCTCATTAATTTCCCTTGGCAAATATTTAATGCTCCTGGTATGGTATCTTAAATGATGTAATAGTACATTTTTATGTCTTAAATGGTACATTTCTGGTAAATAGATATCTATTTTTAGTCTAAGATTAAAAACAAGTCCTCTTCAAGTAATTAAAAAAACAGAAGCCACAAAATAACTTGCTTTTTCAGTCCTCTACAAAAAAGTTGCAACATAAGCCATTTGTCACATTCTTCTCTTGACATTCATGGAAGTCTCGGCATAGCTACATTCAACTGTATTTCATATACCTAACAAAAACCTTTCAAAACCCTCAGAAAACCAGACGAAGTGAAGCTGCCTACCCAATAACTGAATTAATTAAATTAACATTTAAGAATGTACATGGATACTCTTCCTTTTTCAATAGTCTGAAGAACTCTTTATACTCTCTTTCTGAGAAGCCATTGAAAAAGAAAATTCAGGTAATAGATACAGAATAAAAAAATTGACCTCTAAAAATGGACCTCTGGTTGGTAGCAAGTCTCCTGGTTATTCTTTATAGCCACATTTCTTGAAAACTACCATTTAAGGTAGAGAAACATCCTATATATAACATAAAAAATGGAAAATAAACTTTGCATTCAAAACCAAGAAATTCTCAAAAAAAAGACAGACATCGTTAAGATAAAATTGTTACCATGTTAGTTACAAACATTTTTCAAAGTAAATCTCTGAATGGGCTACTATTCCACACTATGAGTCTGCTATTACAGGCTGCCCAGGGAGTTTGTGGAGTCTCCTTCTCTGGAGACATTCAAAACCCACCTGGACGCCTTCCTGTGTAATCTCATTTAGGTTCCTGCTCCTGCAGGGGGTTGGACTGGATGATCTTTCGAGGTCCCTTCCAATCCCTAACATTCTGTGATTCTGTGTGATTCTGTGATAAACTTAGAAACTTGTATAATCTACAAGACATTGGAACCATCTATTGATTTTGGTACTGATTGAATATAATACAGTATGGATTAACTCCTGAAGTTTGTAATGCTTTGTGAAAGCACAAAATACCCCACCCAAACCAACACAACATTCTTGACTAACTAAACATGCACCCTGTGAATCTGCTACTTAAGACAAAAAAAAAAAGTGCATGCAATGATGCAATGCACAGCAGAAACGATGTCATTTAATAGTACTGATGAGTACTGAATTAGTACTGAATAGTACTAATTTACTGACATAAACTTTTATAAATTATGTAATAATAATTAAAAAAAATCTTTCCTTTTGACACATAGGTTGCTTATAGCATTATATTAACATTGTTTTCTCATGCTGTCCTAATGTTTTAAAATGCTGTAGGTGGGGGTGCTGTTTTTTAAATTAAAATAGATTAAACTTCACATTTACAATTTGGTTTCTAGCTTTTTTTTAAAAAAAAAAAAAAGTTAAATTAACTAAAGATTAAAAAAAATGAATAAAGTTTCAAAAATCAAAAAATGGGTAAGTTACTTGTAAAGCAACAATGAGTTAATGACTTTTAGATGAAGGAAAACCTGCAGTTTTATACTGTTATTAAAATATGAAAGGAAAACTCTATACACTGTTACCTGTAAGGTTTGTGTAAATCAGCTTCATTCAAATAAAACAGCAGCCGGGATAAATGCAATATAAATCTTTAGAATACCATAAAATAAGATATTAGTGAAGTGTACTAAATTACCAAAATATTTCTTGTCTGGAATACTAATAGAAAAGTGGGAAAGTCATTATGTTGAAAAGAAGAGACAGCTTTAATTACATGAATCTTCAAAACTGTCTTATCAGTAAGCTCATTAGCTGCAATGAAAGTTCCTCCTGCTGATCTAAGAGTATTAAAAAAACAGGATTTGCTATACTTCAAAGCAAAAAAGGTATCTTTAATTCATGTACTGTAACAGTGAATTAAGCCTACTTCTAGTATTACAAAAGTAGAAACTAAAAGTTTAGCACATAATAGAAAAAAAAAACAAATTAAATATCCTGAAGTAAACTATAGCTGCATAGGTCACATGTATATTGCTGCTTGTCTCTCAAAGTTATATTAAAAAAAAAAGAAAAATATATTTTTCTAATGTAATAATTTACATATTGTGAATATTTTATCATTTACACAATACTATACAATACATGCTAGCTTCCCAACTAACAGACCTGTCACTGCTCTTAAAGTCTTGTAAATTATGTTAACAGTTTACCATGCAACAAAACAACTGGACAATATTTAATGACTTGAAAGGAGCAAAAATGTTTTTTCTAAAAAGAAAATTAGTTGCTAAACATTGTACCATTCTGATGTTCACTATTTTGAATCAGAAATACTCTGAGAGGGAATTTTTAAGAATGAGCAAGTACAAAATAAAAAAAAAATAAGGTATGCTATAAATGAGCTAGCTGATGCAAGGACAATCATGTCAAGGGAGAATTGTAAAAAGCGTGTTTTAAATAACTTTTAAGTAAGTAGAAGACTAAACAATCGCTTGATGATGAACAAACCAAAACAATGAAGAACTAACATGCACAGTATAATTCCATTTTTACACAGTGTGTTCAACTTAAATTTTTTTTCTCTTAATATTATTCAAATGACATTTATACATCTTCCTATCTGTGGGGGTATAACTGACAAGTAGGACCATGCCGTCCTGCACTCCCTCCCCCCAGCTGGTGAGATGGGAAGGGAATCATAACAAAGGGACCACGGATTAGGGCGAGGACAGGGACGGCTCACTCACTAGTTGTGGTCACGGGCAAAATAGACTCAACTTGGGGAGGAAAAATAAATTTAATTCTTTGCCATTCATCTGAGTAGTGCAGTGAGACAAAACAACCACATCTTAAGACACTTTCCCCCAGCCCTCCCTTCTTTCTGGGCTCAAATCACTTTGTTTCCAAGTTCTCTACTTTATACTTATATTAGCATAATGCCAAAGCAGAAAAGAGCGATGTATTTCCTCACGCAACAACTCTGACCAACAAAGTAGCATACATGTAAACAGAAGCTTCCTATTGGGTGACAGGAAAAATCCCAGGCTTGCTGACTTTCTTCTGTACTATCAGAAGTGTGTAACATCCAGTTGTAACCTTTGGATCCAGCAGTTTTACAGATTTACTGGAAGTCTGAACTGAAGAAATATGGTCCAGGACGGATTATTCTTGTTAAGCACTAAGTACTATTTCTTGGAATGGAGGAGAAAATCTAAACCCTCAATACTCCAATTCTGTGCTAACATAATCAGTATTTCTTCTGGAATAAGCCTATTTGACTGGATGATCATCAGGAAGAAAGTTTTTTTATGACTTCCCCCTCTGTCACTCTCCCTAGCAGCCACAATGATGCCTTGTAACATCTGCTGGGTTTCCCAGCTCACTGTAGAAACCTCAATGCAAATCATTCACCATCATTTTAGGTCAACTTGTTTTCATCAGCATATCAATAAGTTACATCAGATCAGGTGAGTCCATTATGTTGGATATGGCTGATCACAACCACAGATCCACAGTTCTTTTTAAAAAACTGACTTTTTGGTAAGCTCAAGCAAAAATAGCAAAACACAAAGTTCTTGAACTTCCAGCAGCAACTAAAAACATTACTACATTATCAAAATCCTTCTCATAACAAATCCCATACTGAAACCAAAACACAGTGCTTTCTAGCTAATAAGAAGAAAATTAACTCCATCCTAGCACAATCAGGACACAGCTACTTAAAAATACTTGAAATTCTATGTGGTTATAATGCACCAACTAAAACTGGAAACTTTAAGAACCACGATAACAGAAAGCAAACTGTGTGCATGACCACTACCTCAAGTTCTCTATCAGGATCAGGTTTTGCAAAGCTGTAGTTTGTGGCAGGGAGACTGAGTGAGGCATAAGAGTGACACTGTATAAAGCAATATAGATAAACAGTGATATTTTCCAAAATGACATAAATTAAAAAATTATTAAAGGAGACAGCCCATCCAATCTTCTTTTCCTGCAAGAGTATGACAGTGCTGAAGTGGCATCAATTTCTAACTCCATGCTTAGTCAGTTTAAATTACTTAAGCTGTTATAAAATATGGAGAAGAAACTCTCAATTAAGAAATTAACTACAAAAAAAATCTGCTGCTGTGTATATTGAAGTTTACCATATTCCATGCTGCATGATGAAGCAGTAGAAAGAGGAATTTATTTTTCCACACTGCCAATACTACTGTTGCATGAAAAATAGACATGGGGAAGATAAAACTGTCCTGATTCATGTATAGAAAGAAAAAAAAAATAATAATTATATGACAGTATGACAGGCTTTCAGCACTTCTGAATTAAAAGACACTGAGTGATTGTATTACGCTTACCATAAAAAAGACTGAAAGATGGAAATAGTTTAAGATCTGTTAATAGAAAAGAACTTTTAAAATAAATCTATTTTGGACAGTGAGTCTAGAAGATATTTTAGTAGAAATGTAATGAGAAATCTTGTAGTAAATATTAGAGGACTGCACAATAAATAGTTCCTTCAAGACCACTTGCAGCAGTTCAAATTACTGATCTATGCTATTGACCATTAATGTCCATTTTAAAAATAATGTTAGCATAAAATAAACATAATCTCACATAAAATACACTCCAAGGCACACAGAATTAAAATGTCTAGTTAGCTATACGAACCTTTACTAGCTTTGTCTAAATGTTGCAAATCCTCAACAAAATTCAGGACATCCTGATGGCTTTCTTCACACACTTCTACAAGAAAATGGAGCAATGTTGTTTTTTGATCTGCCGACTTTGTGTCCTTCAGCTAGAGAGAAAAAACAAAATAAATGTTTAAACACTGAGAAGAAGATAACTTCTGATTGCTTTGCTAATTGATATATATTACTAGTTGTGAACCCAAGAAAAGTAGGAGTAAACTGTTGAACTGATATAGCTCTTTTAAACAAAACCTTAAGTAACGGGCTGTTTAATTTACCCCCTTGCTAAAAATTTCCAGAAATATCACATTAATTTTTTTTTTAATTTTATGCAATATTTGAGTTCTGTACTCAAAAATAGGACACATTTCTCTTTTTAAAATATAACTATTTAAGAAATATAGGAATATTTGCTAAACTGTAAAAAACTAATGAAAATGTAAAAAAAAAAAATAAAATCAGAGCTAAATCAGCAAAATCTAGCAATACATGACACATATATCCACTCCATGACATGATTTCCTTATGTGTGAAGCTAACTCTAGCCTAACAATATTTATGCAATGGAAACTACAACCTCAACCTGCACAAGGTCTTGTTGTTATCAATTCTCAAAAGGGTAAACAAGAGTTCATAGGCTTCATTGTTAAAAAACTTAGACTTCAAAAATTCTTAAGTGCAAACTTTTATTTCTTAACTCTTTATAGATATAAAACTGAGCCCACTCATTTTAAAACTTGCAGCTAAAACTTGTGTAAAAACACTAACAATTGATAACTGGCAAACATTCAGTTATACATTCCTGTGGTAGTCTCTTGTTTAAACTAGTCTTTTCAATCATTGGAGGGTTTTGTAGAAATAGAAAATAGCATATCATATGAAAGTGTTTCTTCGCTACTTAAAAAATATTTCTGTATAAAACAATTTAATAGAAAAAGTATGCATGTACATAGGCACATATGTAGTATGCACACATACTAAAGGGCTGCCACAATAGCACATAGTCTTGTATATCTGAGTATAGGGGGAAAAGTCTTTAGTGCAGTATTAAAACTAGCACTAAATATGTAGAAAATTCATGTTAATTTGTTTCAACTTCAAGACTGTTCTTTAGTTTGGTTACCATGAAAAATACAAGTGACTAGCAATGCTCAATGGTATTAGAGTAACTACAGCAACAAGGCAGAAAGGAAAAATTACCTTCCTTTCCAAAGAGGGTTTAAAACCAGACACAGAGCTATATGGGGATTACTTCTCAATAAGGAACCAACAGCAAGATCAATCCCAATTTGAATACACATACACATTTTTATATATATATATATATATATATATCACCACAGCTTTCCCATGGTTGCAAATTTCTTATCAAAATATTTTTTCATGCTTCTTGTGCATCCCAATATCCTCAGAGATCACTTAAAGGGCATTTTATTAATCTGATTTAAAAACTAGAGTATATTGTCTGCTTTTCCCATACTGTATGTAAATTAAAATGGAGAATTTTGGTGGTTATCACTGAGGTTGATATTTCACACTTCATTGTAAAAAGTGATTATTTTCAAAGATCAAAATGATACTATCTTAATAAATATGATGAGATATACTCTTCCAGAATGTATGTTCCCCTTCAGATGAGTTGATTAATAATAATGAGAGATAATCTTCAAACTAAATAGAAAATAGAACACATACATCTCAAAAGTAAAAAAATATATTCTAGGTCATTACTGTATGCTGTGTTATAAGTTACTTCTACTGTACTGGGAATGTCAGTGAGAAACATCTCAATAATTGAAACATCACCAAAAAAATCTAAAATGTGACACTGCTTGAAACACATGTAGTTAACAAGTTAGTTTTAAAAATAAACCAGTGTTATAACATGCATATAATTTTAATATATCAGTATTTAATAAATGATTGAGTATTAGCATACCAATATCATATCTCTCTTCTGAGAATATACATGCATGTGCTCTGATGCAGCAGAACTATTACAGTTCAATTCTACATGATGCAGGGAGAAGGTAAGATATGGAATTGTCTTCTGCAAAGTGGGTATTAATATAGTACCCTGTGCATAGTTGGACACTAATGAAGAAGAGTAGATAAATTGTATATTCTTCAAATATTACAGAAACCATCTTTGAAGAACAGAAGTCACTGCAAGTTTCTTAATTTCTCAGAACCTCTACTGAAAACTGCTGAGCAGACCACCAAGCAGTCTGCAATTTGCAGCTTTCTAGTTTTGGGCCTTGAAGGAATATTGATTTGGATTTTTTTTTCCTGTTTTAATACTAGTATTTTTAATACTTGAACCAGTTTATTATTCTCAGAACAGAGGAGATTAAACATTAACCAACACACTACACATAGTTAAGAAAATCCCACAAATTACACATACACAGTTTTACCTCTGTGTTTCCAGACAAAGTGATCTGTCTGTGTAAGACACAGTTTCATAACCAGTGAAGGCTTTGCACTCACGGATTTCCTAAATGAGGCCACAATTGGATGAGGTGAATTAGGAATTGCTGACTACTACCCTGATACACATTGGACTGGATAGTTCAGAGCTATCTCTAAAACCCAGCTGTCCAAAACTGAAGCAAGCAAGAAAAATTGTTAAAGAAATCAGATCTCAATTCTCCATCAAATCTGCAGATATATTGAAATGTCACCATGTATCATGAAGAAAGAAAACTGCAGCTGATGTGCTCAATACCTGTGTCTTTTTCAGTATTTATCTGGGATGATATAAAAATATAACATTCTCAGATGATACTGGTAGTATTCATTCACTACAAAGGTAGGATAGTAAATGCAAATTCCCAGTGATTCTCTCTGTGAAAATCTGTCTGTCTTCAAAAGAACAAGCAGTAGGTTGCACTTGTCCTAGAACATCTACTGGCATAGATCTGAAATTTTACAGACAGTCTCTAAGGTGGCCATGGTTTGCTCTATCTCCCAGCATAATCTGCATACACTTCCCAACGAGTTAACTAAGTACTCTATTCAAAATACTACTTATTTTAGCTCTTAACAGCAACTCTTTGAGAATTATTAGTATACCTAGATTTCAAAAGCTTTCCAAAATCTTCTTCACTAGCAAGCTCTTAACTATCTTTTGCAGTTAGAAAGCTTTCTTAACTTTTAAACAGACTTCTTTTGTTACCAGCAAAGCAAATAATTTCATCTCCTACCTCAGCTACATAGAAAATGAATGTTCAAATGCCTTCTTTATCAGAAATTAACAACAAAAGGACATTGTTATGCCCTCATGTTCCACTTTTCTCAACTAAATATACTCAAATGGTATTTATTCAGTTTGGAAGTGTTACTTGTTACTATCATCTGGATTATCATCAGTCTATATATTTTCTGCAGTAATTTAGACAAAGACTTCACTTAAAACCTTATCAGCACCGAGAGATCATTAGATAATCACCATCTTTATAATACCTAGAAGATCCACTAAAAAAGACATTTTTTATTCTCCAACAGAAAGTTGTAGACTCTTGTAGAACTAAACAACCTGTAAGTGTGCAAATCCAAGTAACTATGAGATCCTAGATTATCAAATGCATTTAATGCCAGAGCACTGCAGAGTTAGCCAGACTTCAAGTTCATTTTCTGGAATTCTGTCTAGTCATTCACTCTACTTTCATTGTCTGCACACACCAGTTCACTTTCCTATGTGTAGTACTTATGGAATCATAGAACGGTTTGGGTTGGAAGGGACCCTAAAGATCATCTAGTTCCACCCCTGCCATCAGCAGGGACACCTTCCACTAGACCAGGTTGCTCAAACCCTCATCCAGCCTGGCCTTGAACACTTCCAGGGAGGGGGCATCCACAGCTTCTCTGGGCAACCTGTTCCACTGTCTGACCACCCTCATAGTGAAGAATTTCTTCCTAATATCTAATCTAAACCCACCCTCTTCCAGTTTAAACCCATTTCCCCTTGTTTTGTCACTCCCTGCCCTTGTAAAAAGTCCCTCCCCAGCCTACTTGTAGGCCCTCTTCAGGTATTGGAAGGCTGCTATAAGATCTCCCCGGAGCCTTCTCTCCTCCAGGCTGAACAGCCCCAACTCTCTCAGCCTGTCCTCACAGGAGAGGTGCTCCAGCCCTCAGATCCTCGTGGCCTCCTCTGGATTCATTCTAGCTGGTCCATGTCTCTTTCTTGTTGGGGTGTCCAGAACTGGACACAGTACTCCAGGTGGGGTCTCACAAGAGTGGAGTACAGGGGGAGAATCAACTCCCTCCACCTGCTGCCTACACTTCTCTTGATGCAGCCCAGGACACAGTTGGCCTTCTGGGCTGCAAGCGCACATTGCCAGCTCAGGCTGAGCTTCTCATCTACCATTTTGAAGACTTCATGGAAGTCTATCAAAATTTTGATATTTTAGGTCTTAAATAATTTCTCCAAGATAATTTTTGAATTTTGATCCTGCCCTGTAAAGTATCTGTAACAATTACCTTCATATTGTTTTCCTACGTATATTCCTTTTTGGTCACATTGTGCATTAAAAATACAGAGAATATAACCAGACCTAGGAGAGATTCTTATAAAATCATACCCAAGAAGTAAATGTATACAATTAGAGAGAGAACCTTTAGTATCTTCATTCTGAATGTGTTTAACAAATCGTACATTTAACTCAATTAATTTAATCTACACTGCATTTCTCTAGGTGGCTGATACATGCTTGAATGTTTACTTTAGGCTAGGGAAGGTATATAACTTATTCTCTATAAATATTTAAGTTATAGGTGCCACATTCAACACTCAAGAAACATAGTGAAAGAATTCTTCTGAAACATGGCAGAGTAAGGGTGAGTATTTTACAGAATGTAAAAATTAACATATTGTATTTTCTCTATTGTGTAAAAAGATAAAGAAGCTGAGAGAAGACAAAGAGTACCTAGAAACTTCCATATAATTCCTTTTTCATAACAATTATTACATACATGTGCGCTCTGTGCAAATTTTGTAGTGACCTCCCAGTGTGCACAGAAAAAAAATAAAAGCACTATATAAGGGGAAGGCAGTTAGGATTAGAACGGATTATAAATTTTCACTCAAGGAAAGTACAGATGTCTTCTTGTATATACCTTATATAAAAGTTTAAAGAGTGAAAATGTATGGAAAATTAGAAGAAACAGGGAATTGATGAAACTAAGCAACAACAGATATCAGATAAGAGAATCAGATAAGGAGACATTTATGTAAAAGAGGAAAGAGTCCAGCGCAGAGCCACCAAGATGATTAAGGGAGTGGAGCATCTCCCTTATGAGGAAAGGCTGAGGGAGCTGGGTCTCTTTAGCTTGGAGAAGAGGAGACTGAGGGGGGACGTCATCAATGTTTATAAATATGTAAAGGGCGAATGTCAGGAGGATGGAGCCAGGCTCTTCTCAGTGATGTCCAATGGTAGGACAAGCGGCAATGGGTGCAAGCTGGAGCAAAGGAGGTTCCATGTAAACTAAGGAAAAACTTTTTCACTGTGAGAATGACAGGACACTGGAACAGGCTGCCCAGAGAAGTTGGGGAGTCTCCATCTCTGGAGACATTCAAAACCCGCCTGGACACTTTCCTGTGTGACCTACTGTAGGTGATCCTGCTCTGGCACGGGGATTGGACTAGATGATCTTTTGAGGTTCCTTCCAACCCCTAACGTTCTGTGATTCTGTGTGAAAACATAACTGTATTAAAACAGATTAAAATGTAACAGTCTTCGATGTGTAGGATCACAACACTACTATGATCACAGTGATATGGTCCTTCCATAACCTTATTTAGTTCAGAGTGATTTTTTTATTATTATTTCATCAATATAGAATCTTCTAAAAGTTTAAATGCAAGCCAGTCTCAAGATTAGCTGTAGAGTACAGATTACCTGTATTGTTCAAGCCATCAACTAGTATTGTTTAAAAAAAAAACAAAAACAAAAACCAAACAACTGTAGAAAAAACATCAAAACAAGATATTTAAGTAACGTAATTTAAAAAAATTAAAAAGTGAATGTAATACTCAACATGGACATTTCAAAACTCACTTTACATAGGGAGCTGAGATTATATCCAAAGGTTTGTGCATTCCTAGAACCTGCATTCATGTAGTTTCCCATTAACAATACTAGTTCCAGCAGCTTGCTAAAGCTTTTACTCTTCTTTATCTCTTCACAGGCAGCACTGACAGCCATGATGTCGGGTTTGATGTTGTTCACCTGCTCCTCAAACTGAAGCTTAAAAAGAATAGCACTGAGCCGTGGCCGTAGTCTCTTCACATTGCTCATCTGATTGAAAAGAAAATAGGAGATTTCCTTTAAAATTCATGCTACACTTTGGCACTGTACAAATGCATACAATCTGTAATGATTTATTGGTGTGACAGGCTTGAAGAAGCAATATATCTGCTATAAATGATAGCAAATGAACAAATGAATGAGAGACTCTTGGGTAAGAAACTGAAATCCCATCTTGTGGTTAATATGAACTGCCCCCATCCTTTCCCAATAACTAGTATGTGTAAGCAATAAAAGATAAAGTGTCATCATATATCACATCTGTCAACTCATATAGTAAATCCTATAAAACTAATCCATGTTTATGACCCAGTAGTTGCGAAGTAATAAAAGTAGTTCACAAATTGTATATAACTCAGGATGTAACAAAACAAGGCAAATATTATTTTCTGGTACAAATATTTAAAAGCTGATTTCAATAAGAGCTTACTATAAACTTGCAGGAAAATAATAGTTTTGAAAAATCTCTGCTATGAAGCACTTAATATAGCATACTTTAATATATACGAGTATTCATACCCTACTATACTACTGGACTTCATGCAGTTAATTAGGTAAAGCAGAATGCCCCCAGGAAAATAGCAATATCTGTAGATTATATGCAAAAGATTTGTATTTTTCTATGTTTTACTGGTCAGGGATTTTCAGCAAAACCTTCAGTCTTCCCATATAACTTAGGTCACTGAATTCCCACCACAAAGATACTTGGCACATTATTTACTATACTCAAACAACAAGGCTCCAAATTGCATTGCTTCTTTAAATCAAGGAACATCAAATGCATTCAATAAATTAAATTCCTTCATCTCTCAAGTTTCCAATGTACTACTCATCCTTCCAACTCTGACACAGAAATCTTCAAATATTTTTTAGGTTTAGCATCACATACCATCTCAGAAGTTTTCTGTCTTTCATTCTTGCTCCTTTCCTCCCTACCAGGCATTATATATTCCCTGCCTTTTCCTTCTTCCGCAGTAGAAATCAAGTTGTTTTTTTTTTCCCTCCCTGATCTATGGTTCTGTTTGCATGTGAGAAACGCTAGTCTCAGTTTCTTCCATGCACTTCTTCCCTCATTTTTCCCTACCCCCATTTTCTCAGCAGTTTGATGAATTCTGTGAGACTTCTTCCCAATACTTGTATTTTTCCTTCTCCGGGCAATATCAAGCCAATAATGCCTTGATAACTCCTGAAATCCTAAAGTACTTTTTTTTATTATTTTTTTTAAATAAAATGCATATTATTTTTTCCAGCTATCAGTACCTCCCAATACAAGAAAAGAAGTAATAATATTGGCATTTCTATAATGTAATAGGTTTCATATAGTGGCTTTAACAGTTTGCCTTTAAATTGGAAATAACCTCCTCCACACCACAGGTTTTACAGAATATTTCTCAACCTTTATCTAGTCTATCAATGCAAAAATAGCTCTGACAGTGCAATGTTCACAAGTTGTTTGGTGCAGATTATCCCACAGTAGACTCAGTGAAAAGTATAATGGTGACACTCTTCATCCATTTCATTGTAAAGTCAAAAAAGTAATCTTAAACTGATACTGAAGGCTGTCTAATCCAGAGGGTTTCATATGGAAGCAGAAGAGGATGGAATTTACAGTCTATTTTATTGGATTTACTGTGACAGCAGTAGAAAATAAAATCAAGTAGAGTTAACATTTTGTGCTACTAAGCCACTTCTGCAATGCCTGCCTGGCAGTGCAACCACCTGATGATGTCCCATCGAAGTAAACATACCATTTGCATCTTAGTTCAGATAAGAAATCTTGAAGTAAAATAAGCAAACCTTTCCAATAACCACAACTTTGGTTTGCATCACAGAGCAGAGCATACAAACAAGATATCTTTCAAATGAAACTAGGCTGAAAATCAACTCCACTACTGAGCTTTAGTCCACACACTGCCTCCAGCCTGGTCCTAAAAAAACCCCTCTAAACTGTATATAGTTTGAATGTTAGCTCAGCACCAACTGTAGGCAGATATTCTGTACTCATACACTAAATAGCATCTAATAGTATGGTAAAATTCTTACTTAAGAACAGGTAAGCAAGGAAAATGGGACCTAAATTTAAACAGGCCATTTCACAGTGAAATAGAAATACTTGAAACCCACCTAAAATGAACGTAGTACTCTTAACAACTTTATGCCTAATTTAAGAATAAATATCTAAAAGAATATTAAGGTACTGGACAGAGGCAAGTGTCACAACGTCATTCTCCAAACTCCATCAGGAAGAATCAGTGTTAACTTATTTTCTTCAAGCAATTCACATACTAGGTTTATATGTGTACTACTACTTCTTATCTTATTGAAAATAATATTCTTAAGTTTTATTCTCTGTTCAGAAAAATATTAAGACTACACTAGAAAAAACACAAAACATAATTGAAATTATCCAGATTTTTAATATTTGTCCCTACTCAGGTTGCAATAGAGATGATAATTAATATGAAATTATAGGAAATAACAAAATAAAGTGTAAGTTGCATTGATTTGAAATGGTACCAAACTCAAGATAGCACAGAACCAGCAGATGATGCACCATTTATTGACTATTGGCTTCTCAGACAGGAGGATTCTTGAAACTGAAATAATCAGGTCCTTTAGATCACAAAGATGTGTTGAACAAATATAAGCAAGCACACCTGCATGGAAGATACAAAGTTTTCCTCAGAAACAGTTGAACTACAACAAATTAAGAAGTTCTGTATTGTAAGTCTTAAGGATGGATGCAGAAATACGTAACCTGAAAAATTAGAAACAGAAGCACATGCCAGAAACACAACAAAAACGTCATTGGGCCTTTTTAAAATACTGGGGGTTTTTTTAAACACTCTGAAATCCATAGTTCTTGCACAATACCTGTTGTTGATACTATTTGTTTACCTGTTTGCTAAGTCAATAATTGAGAAAAAAAGGAGATGGAGAGTTCCATTAGCAATATATGGCTTTCTTTGTGACATGTAGTCTACAAACATATTGAAACTGTGAAATGCAGGCACCTTACCACAACAGATGTTAAGAATTTAAGTGTTGCAATGTTGAGAGACTTATGTTGTTACTTTTTTATACTCAGTATATAAGTACATAAGTCTATTTATGTCCTCATAGTGGTATCCTGAAAACAGGCAATCCAAATAACTAAAAAGGGAAGCTGAAACAGAAAGTTTCAGTGGACTACACATGTTCAGAAAACTCAGTGTATGGGCAATGAATTTTTCAAGTAATAGTCCACAAAAATATTCTCACTATGTGCAAGTCCAAATGGGAACTGACAACAGAGTTGAGCTCTCCAGTAGCAGCTCTCACAGCCCTTTATCCAACAGCAAAGAGAGGTTTTTCTCTCAAATACAGCATAAATCAGAAGGCGTCTGCAAGAGTGTGCCATCTGGTAAAGGTGTACTTTCACTGTCTGCTTTGGTGATGTCAAGTAAAGTAACATGACTCAGAAGTTACACAGACATTGCATTTTGATCACTGAATGTGATTCATTCTTACCACAAGCTTGCAGAGAAAAACACTGCAAGGGTTTCAGTTTCACAATATAACTTCCTTAAAGGATCAACAGTGCCGAGGCTGTCAGACCACCTGAAGTGTTCCCATCCAAAAGTAAAATAGCAGTTACAGCCAGGCAAACTAAAGGAATAAACTGGAAGGGAATCCTCTGTGGAACATGTATGGTGTTCATCACTGCAGTATCAGTGAACTCAGCAGAGTGCACAGGTAAAAAGCGTGAATTTGTAATATTACCTTTAGACTTGGGCACTTGAAAAGCAGGAAAAAAAAAATTCAGGTAAGGAAGAACTGATACCTTAACAGATCTTTTATAACATCTAAAGAAGAAAGAAGAACACCCTGCTCAATTTTAAATAGGCAGTCAACATGTCCAAATCTTAGTGAAGACCACCAGTGTTCTGGAAAGCCCAAACATTATTTCAGTGTATGGGAAGTCAATCCATGATAATGGAACAGTATTTTTGTTGAGATGTTTTTATGGCTATGTCTAAGTAGTACATCTTTCTTCACCTTTGACACACTTTTTTTCCCAAATAAATGATAAAAAAGTCAAGAACTGCCAACCTAAAATTAAAATTACTTACAAGAAATCAAAAAGTCTTAATACTTATAATGTGGACATGTGCACAAGCAAACAATTGAACTGATGACTTTCAGCCTTACTATTACTGATAGAGGACATGTCCTGCTACTCTGTTTCTCCAGCTTGAATTGTAAACAGCTTGAATTTGCACCACTGACTCAATTTCTTGCAAATCCAAGCTTTTCCTAAACGATATGCAGGACAGAAAAGAAGGGAGTGTGCTTTAAGTGACACAGGGACACGACCTATCAGTTACCTCCGAGCTGCACACAGGTAGCCTTCTCTTGTGAGTGACAGTGCACTGATGTACAGTGCATAAAATCACTGGCACTGTTTTTGATGGCATTCTGTTCAACAAAGATGGACTGGCAAGGCCAGTCTGCAGGTCTCAGAAATGGGGGCATTCTTTCTAAATACTCCAGAAGTCATCTGTCTTATGGAATAAAATCCAAATTGCCAATGGGGGGTACAATATAGCTGTCAAAATAAGCTGAGTTTATAGTCTTCATGATGAAATTCACAGACAGGTGTGTTCCACCAGAAAGAGGTGATTTTTTTGTCTTACCCACAAAATATAATTAGATTTACTGACATCTTGATCAAAATGGAACACAAAACAGCTTTTGTTTCTCCAAGTTGAATTTAGAAAATTATATTTTCCTAAAAAGGAATCACCCAAGAGTGGGGTGGTTTGAATTTCCCAGATCCTCCTATTTTTAGAAGGCCTAACAGACACCAGAAATGCTATTTTCATTAAACTGTACATGCCACCAGACCGGGGGAAAAAAACAAACAAACAAAAAAGCAGCAGATGCCACTAAACTGAAAAGCTCTCCTCATGGGAAATCAAGTCAAGAATTTAATATAGGTAAAGTTCCTC